AACCTCCGGAACGAATTAAGTACTTAACCTGAGGTACCACTGTACTTTGTTTTAAAAAAGAGTAAAGGTAAAGGGACCCCTGGCCGTTAGGGTCCTGTCACGGACGACTCTGGGGTTGTGGCGCTCATCTCGCTTTACTGGCTGAGGGAGCCGGTGTACAGCTTCTGGGTCATGTGGCCACTATGACTAAGCCGCCTCTGGCGAACCAGAGCAGTGCACGGAAACGCCGTTTACCTTCCCGCCGGAGCGGTACCTATTTATCTACTTGCACTTGATGTGCTTTCAAACTGCTAGGTGGGCAGGAGCTGGGACCGAGCAACGAGAGCTCACCCCGTCGTGGGGATTCTGGACCCCCCCCCCCTAATAGTCCCCACTTGAAATCACACATATTTCTATTTAAGATGAAAACCAAGGTTTTGATCAAGGCCCGCAGGTGATGGTGCTTTCAAATGTTCCTTGGTGTTCACACTGCTGTCCCCTTGAGTTACTGCTCACTATCAGCCAATTTTTTTTTTTAAGAAAAGGTAAGCGATCTAGCAAGTTTAGTCTTGCATCAGTTAACTCTGTGGCAAGAAAGGCTGTTATCTTTCAAGCAGCTGCTAACCTTTCCATGCAGGGCTGTCTAGCTGGCACAGAGGTTAACCCTTCATTTGAACTAGACTTTAAAGATGCAATCTTTATAGGCGCTTTCCTGAGAATAAACTCCATCGGACAGGATTTACCACAGAGCAGATGGGCACAGGATTGTACTCTAAATCCCCCACTTTCTCTCCATCTGAGGGAAAAGAGCACGAGGTAATCCTTTAAAAAAATAAAAATAAAAATGGTTTACTCTCACAACAACTTCACCACCTGTATAAAAGGTGTGCACTGGCCTTCGACAAGACCACTGCTGCATTTAAAAAAATCATTGTGGAGCGTGATCCTATGCATATTTACTCAAAAGCAAGTCCCATTGAACTCAATGGATCTTTCCCCCAAGTACAGTGTAGAATTCTGGAGTTTCATCTGCTCATTGAGGAATTGCAGCATTTCTGGAAATGTAAGTTTGACCCCCCCCCCACAAAGCCCCTGTAACACATGCAATTTTGCTATTCAGTTTTGATATTTTAGACTCTGGACTGAATGGTGTTGATGGGTGGCTTAGATGGCAATGTGCATTACTTCAAATTGTGATAATCCTCCAACATTTGGAGCTCTCTTGCTCATACTACTGAGTGGGGCTCTGGATGACTGCCCTGAAGTCTTGCCCCACAACCTTATGTTGACCTCCAGACAACAGTGTAACAATGAGTTTTGATCGACTGCTTTTCATTTGCGGTAGCTGCGCATCATATTACCCACAGACTTCTCTTCCTGCCCCATCCACCTGTAACATCTGCATAAAGGTAAAGGTAAAGGGACCCCTGACCATTAGGTCCAGTCGTGGCCGACTCTGGGGTTGCGGTGCTCATCTCGCTTTATTGGCCGAGGGAGCCGGCGTACAGCTTCCAGGTCATGTGGTCAGCATGACTAAGCCGCTTCTGGTGAACCAGAGCAGTGCACGGAAACGCCGTTTACTTTCCCGCTGGAGCGGTACCTATTGATCTACTTGCACTTTGACGTGCTTTCAAACTGCTAGGTTGGCAGGAGCAGGGACAGAGCAACAGGAGCTCACCCCATTGTGGGGATTCAAACCGCCGACCTTCTGATCTGCAAGTCCTAGGCTCTGTGGTTTAACCCACAGCGCCACCCGCGTCCCAACATCTGCATACACATAAATAAATCTGCTAGAACGATGGAAGCCCATTGGTTCTTACAGTGCGATGGAGGTAATGATAGTGTTTCCAGAAAAAATGCTTGAGATGAGGCTGTCTGGAAGGGAAAACTGCTCAGCTGAGTGGCAGCAGCTCACCTACCTTTAGGCAACGTTGGGGAGGGGGAAGGGGGAGGAAATGAAAACGAATGCAGCTTTGCAATGCACTCCTTACTGAAGACATATTGTGGTGCCATTGTCCCCCTAAGCAATTTTTGTTTGCATTTTTTTTAAAAAAGAAAGTCAAGTATAGGCTGTGGCCCTCCACATGTCATGGGACTACAACTCCCATCATCTTTAATCTTTGGTCCACAGTGGCTGAAGCTGATGGGAATTGTAGTGCAGAACATCTAAAGGGCACTTGGTTGGGGAAGGTCAGTAACGTAGTGGTATAATCTGATCACAGACTCAGTTCATACATGCATAGGCGCCAACTTTGCACGTCAAATTGTCTGCAGAAAGACTGGACAACCGAGATTTTTTTTCTCATCAGAAGATGAGTGCAATCACTGTCACTTTTGCCATCTTGTGAGTGCTGCCCTGTGTTGAAGACAAAAAAATGACCCACGATCTGAGCACATGTTGAATCATTCTCTTGACATGGGCATACTTTTCACGGGGGGGGGGGAAAAGTGGGATTGCAAATGGTCCCAACTTGTGACAGGGGGTTTGGGTGGACTGGGCAAGTCACATCTGAAAAGAGAAACATCAGTGGCATGACTGCAGCAACTAATCACTCCCTAATTGTAGCTTTATTTTTGTTGTTTGGTGGTGGTGGGGTTATGGTGTCTGCCAATCCAATCTTTCAAATGGATACAGTAACTTCCCTAGACATTTGTGCTAAGTTGTCCAAAGCAACTAAGCTCTACTGAAAGTCTAAGCTGTGGATACAGATGTTCCTGATTAAACTGTTGCCTCCATTATCAACTGACTATCAGGGGTCAGCAAACTTTTTCAGCAGGGGGCCAGTCCACTGTCCCTCAGACCTTGTGGGGGGCCAGACTATATTTTGAAAAAAATATACATGTATGAAATAATTCCTATGCCCCACAAATAACCCAGAGATGCATTTTAAATACGTAAAAGCACACATTCTACTCATGTAAAAACAGCAGGCAGACCCCACAAATAACCCAGAGATGCATTTTAAATAAAAGCACACATTCTACTCATGTGAAAACACACTGATTCCCGGACTGTCCGTGGGCTGGATTTAGAAGGCGATTGGGCCGGATCCAGCCCCAGTTTGCCTACTCATGGACTAGGCAGTCTCCAACAAACATCTCTCACCCCCTCTTGCAATACTGGATAATACAACCTCCCTTACTGCATACATTGTTGAACACACTCTTTTCACTACAGTTAGAACCACAGAATTGGAAGGGACCACAAGAGTAAACCAGTCCAACTCCCTGCAATGCAGAAATCTCAACTAAAGCATCCAAAACAGATGTTCTTAAAAACCTCTGCTTGAAAACCTCCAAGGAACGAGAGTCCACCACCTCTGGAGAAAGTCCATTCTGAGATTTGCTTTTCCCTGGTCTCTCTTTAGTAATAGGAGTAGTAACAACAACAACTACTACAACAACTGCAGGTGGAGTTTAGAGCATTGCTGCATCTCCAATTCCAATCAGCTGCAGCAGCCAGCAGGGCCAATAGCCAAGGATGATGGGAGTTGGAGTCCAACAACCATAAAGAAGGCTAATCACCGAAGAATTGATGCTTTTGAATTCTGGTGCTGGAGGAGACTCTTGAGAGTCCCATGGACTGCAAGAAGATCAAACCTCTCCATTCTGAAGGAAATCAGCCCTGAGCGCTCACTGGAAGGACAGATCCTGAAGCTGAGGCTCCAATACTTTGGCCACCTCATGAGAAGAGAAGACTCCCTGGAAAAGACCCTGATGTTGGGAACGATGGAGGGCACAAGGAGAAGGGGACGATAGAGGACGAGATGGTTGGACAGAGTTGCCAAAGCTACCAGCATGCGTTTGACCAAACTGCGGGAGGCAGTGGAAGACAGGAAGACAGGAGTGCCTGACGTGCTTGCTCTGGTCCATGGGGTCACAAAGAGTCAGACACGACTAAACAACAACAACAACAGTGGAAATGAACGACTTTGGCTACTCCTGGTCTATAAAGTTGCATGCAATAGAATGGGGATCATCATTGCAACACTCCAAAAGCTGTCATGCCTAAATTTTCAATGCTAAATGAGCATTTGAACCTCACGGGGTATTTGGGTGCACTTGTGAATGATGTTAATGCAGGATAGGCGCAGCATTTCAAAATCACAGAGACGCAGACCACAGTCTGCTTTTAGGCAGAGTCGAAGGAGATTTGAGAAAAGTGCCGCTTCCTGTGGCACACACTCACACCCACATCCGCAGGAGCAATCCCCGCTCTCTGCCCCGATCAAGCAAGTTTTGCAGGTTTCGGTATTGGTTCAAAACCTGTCGGACCTGTGAACCAGAGACCCGAGTGCGATGACTGTGTCACAATAAGAAGCCATCCCTCCTTCAAGTCAGTCCGCGCGCAATATTCGACCCCACATGACCTTCAGTGGAAAGGGCTGGAAGGAACTGACAAGTGAATGGATAGTAAGGTGGTTTACTCCCAGTGGCAAAACCCGCTTTCCATTTGTTCAGGATAGTTTGAGGGAGGGATGGGAGGGAGAAGACAGACAGGAGGAAGCCGCAGCCGCAGAAAGAGGACATCTGAAGTAGCCAGGTCCCATCTCTCAACTCTCCTCCAACGCAACCGAACCATACCCGCCCCCTCCGACAACTTTCCCAAGGCAATAGTTTAGCGGGACTAACAAACACAAAAATAAAGCCCCCTCCTCTCTATTTGGATCGCCAGGGGTTAAAACGAGATTTGCAAAAAGAGGGAAAATATTAAAGCCTTCTAATGTATATTTGTATCACCAGTTGAAGCAAAGGACACTTTTGGGGGGGGATAGCCACGAATTCACCCCAACTCCAGGGGCAAGCCCCCCACGCCTTCAGCATCCACCCCACGGGACCCTGTCCCCAAATGCGCTTCCTGCTCAAACGGGAAAGCCACCGAGGATGGGGGGGGGGACGCGCGCCTGCCCCCACCCGGCCAAGGAAGGAGCCCAGCCCAGCGGCTCCCCAGTCCCAGAAGAAGTGGGTCCGCGCCCCGATTCCCGGAGTCCGAAGCACAAAGGCGGAGAGGCTGCACTCACCTCGCCCGGGACTACCTCGGCGCGGAGGTCGGCGCGCTCTCTGGCCGCGACTGCGGGGCAGCCTCCGCTCTGGCGCAGGTGGAGCCCGGAGGAGGCGGGTCCCGCCCGCCGGACTTCTCACCTGCCGCCGACCCCGGGCGAGCCAGCGGGAAACTCCGCCGCCCCAGGCACAGGTGTATCGCGGAGCGGCGCTGCCGCTGGGTCCTAGGGCCGGCGCTCCCCCAGCCTGGCGCCTCGCGCGTTGGGTCCTAGCGCCCGGAAGCGCCAAGTGGGGAGGGACCCGCAGGGGTCATCTAGTCCAACCCCTGGCACGACAGGAAGCAGCAGGCATCGGGCACACTTCGGGTCCCGCTTCATTGCTGAGTGAGGTTGAGAAGAAGCAGGCTCCGTCATCGGTAGAGCATGAGACTCTTTATATAAAAAAATATTTAGGGGCACTCTCATTTTCCTCCTCATATTGAAATACTGCCCCTCAGTGAGGCCAAACTTAGATTCACAAAATGTTTAGGGGTGTGCGTACCCCTGTGTCCCCCCGGAAAAAAGCACTGTGCATATATATAATTTTTTGTTTCACACTTTAGAATATTCATTTAAACAACCTTAAAATGTCAATGACGAAGATTTGGAGAAACGCTTCAGAGGTCCAGACTATGGGGAGCCCAGAAAAATTAATAAATACAATTTGGATTACAATTTGGTCTTTTTAAATTTTAATTTCTTGTTTTTGATTGGATTATGATGTGGATATGTCGATTGGCTGTTTTTATTGAAAAATCAATAAAAATGATTTTTTTAAAAATGTCAATGACTTCCCTTCTTCTCTTTCCATGGTTCATTTTGCATATCATAAATCCCTGCATATTTTACATAAAGGAAACCATTCAGTGTTCCATTATTACATCCTACAAAACTTGTTTGCACTGCTGAATTTATCTTAATGCTGCCTATGTTTTCATGTGTACACCCCCCCATATATTCAATATACATTTTCCAATCTTCTTTAAATGTATGTTCTTGTTCTCTTATTCTGTATGTTAGGTCTGCAAGCTGTGCACATTCCATCTTCTTTAAGTTGCCATTCGTCTTTAGTTGGGATCTCGTAAAGCATAAGACTCTTAATCTCAGGGTGGTGGGTTTGAGCCCCGCGTCGGGCAAAAGATTCCTGCATTTCAGGGGGCTGGACTAGATAGTCCTCGTGGGCAAATGATAGACAACACACCTGATGAAATGGGCCCCAATCCATGAAAGCTTACAGTCTCCCCCCCCCAAAAAGCTGCTTTGTTTCAAAACTCCAACAAGAGGGTTTGTGGTTCCTGCAATGATCTAATACAGCTTACCCAGACACATGATTCAAATTATGAGCACTCCACGTGATGCAGTGAGACGGGAGAGGAACCAAAACCGAGAAAGGAGACAGTGGAGATAAAGGAGAAGCATGCTTGCCGCCAGTTAAAGTTCACCACAACCTTTTCAGAACTGTACACTGCTAAAAGCGTCAGATCAAAACCATTTTTAAAGAAAACCGTTTTGAGTTTTCAAGAAGTGTCTGTGCAGATTTGCATAGCTGCAGACACAAAGGTGTGAGGCACTGTGTTGAACCACTAAATGGTGAGACCAGGAAACGACAGAAGAAACGCGAACTCTGTACGTATCTTGCTACCTATCCTTAGGCAGCTCAAACTGACTCTGGAAAAGGGTGAATGGATGATCACCAGCCCCGTGGCAGCCAAACAGAAAAGGTTGCCTAGCCACTCATTATTGCTTCTCAGTGTCTAAGAATAATTTGTTGGGTTGCTGTAAAAAGCTCTGCAGAGGCCGGCTGACTGTGAATCAGATATGGAATCGTAAGTGTTGGGGGAAACCAGCTTTGCATATATCAGTCATATAGGCCTGGCCCTGAAATGGCAGATTCCCCTTCTGTGCAAATGTGAATGGCATTAAAGGTAAAGGACCCCTGACCATTAGGCCCAGTCGTGACTGACTCTGGGGTTGCGGCGCTCATCTCGCTTTATTGACCGAGGGAGCCGGCGTACAGCTTCCAGGTCATGTGGCCAGCATGACTAAGCCGCTTCTGGCGAAGCAGAGCAGCACATGGAAACACCGTTTACCTTCCCACCGGAGCGATACCTATTCATCTACTTGCACTTTGACGTGCTTTCAAACTGCTAGGTTGGCAGGAGCAGGGACACAGCAACAGGAGCTCACCCTGTCGCGGGGATTCGAACCACTGACCTTCTGATCGGCAAGTCCTAGGCTCTGTGGTTTAACCCACAGCGCCACCTGCGTCCCTGTGAATGGCATTAGAGACCTCTTAAGTACCGGATGTTTGTAGACATGAAGAAGCTGTTCCTGGAGTGAAGGGAAAGTGAGAATATAGAGCGCCTTCTGCAAGCATAGAGTAATAGGATCATAGGATCTTAGAGCTGGAAGGGACCCAAGGGTCATCTAGTCCAACCCCCTGCAATGCAGGAATCTCAGCTAAAGCATTCATGACAGATGTCCATCCAACCTCTGCTTAAAAGCCCCCAAGGGGGAGAAAATACCATCATTATTAGAATGGCAAAGTAAACTCTGTGAGTTTGTGGAAATGGCAAAAATGACGGCAACTATTAGAGGCCATTCAAATCAGAGAATAATTAAAGAGTGGGAGGGAGTGAAGGAATACAGTATATGCCAAAATATGGTTCTGGAACTGGAATATTAATAGATAACGTGTAAAACGTGCAGGGGTAAGCAATGAAATAATAAAAGAAACAGCTGAACAATGATTAAATTATAACAACACAACAAGACGGAAGAAGTAAAAATAAAATAAAATAAGATCACACATGGGTGAAGGGGAACGGGGGAGGGTATAGGGGAATTTGAAATATTATTTATATTATTTATTTATAATACAAAAGCTTTAATATAAAATTTCTAACTGTGTTGTATTTGTATACAGCAAAGAGAAATTTAGAGTAATTAAGTATATTTAAATTTACCGTATTTTTTGCTCTATAAGACTCACTTTTCCCCTCCTAAAAAGTAAGGGGAAATGTGTGCGCATCTTATGGAGTGAATGCAGGCTGCACAGCTATCCCAGAAGCCAGAACATCAAGAGGGATCGCTGCTTTCACTGCGCAGCGATCCCTCTTGCTGTTCTGGCTTCTGAGATTCAGATTTTTTTTTCATGTTTTCCTCCTCCAAAAACTAGGTGCGTCTTGTGGTCTGGTGCGTCTTATAGAGTGAAAAATACGGTAGTTAATTATGTAATAGGTTTAAGTTAGAAAATGAATATGGATGTTGAATTTGATGTGTGTAATTTTTCTTTTTTTCGGTTTTGGAAATAAAAGATAATAATAATAAAAAACCAAGGAAGGAGAATCCACCACCTCTTATTCCACTGCCAAACAGCTCTTGCTGTCAGAAAGTTTTTCCAAGTGTTAAGTCGAAATGTCCTTTCATGTAGTTTGAAGCCATTGGTTTGAGTCCTAGCTTCCAGAGCAGGAGAAGACAAGCAAGGAGAACATTTCCCACCAACACCATCCAGTTCCTTCTATGTCTTTGTGACTGGTTCCCCATCTAGACTGGTGACCCAGCTGTCATGGCAAATCTCCCAGCCCACAATCTTTGAAGAGGATCAGTGTTTGTGAGAGATTCTCCACCCATTTCCTCCCTCTGGGCTGGGTTCTGCTGCGTTATGTGGCTTGGCTCGATCTTAATTTTGGTTTTCACATCATGAGTTTTAAGTAAAGATATCCTTTTTGTTTACTGACTAAAATATTTACCCGTATATACCACCTCTTGAGGTGTGGCCAAGGCACGGTCTGACCTCCTCCTTTGGTAATCCTCATAGAACTCTAGCCCAATGGTTGCCATTAATTTGTTTCTGAATTAATTTTAGAATGAGTTGATTTTAGAATGCTGTGTTACTTTTATTGTTGTTAGCCGCTCTGAGCCCTGCTTTGGATGGGGAGGGCGGGATATAAATAAATTATTATTATTATTATTATTATTATTATTATTATTATTATGTGTTTAATGCAGAAATGGAGCACGTGGAACCAAGGATTTGAAACCTACAATTGCAACCCCTTGAAAATAAGCAGTAGAGGTAAAGAGACCCCCGACCGGTAAGTCCAGTCACGGGCGACTCGCTCTATAGGCCGAAGGAGCCGGAGTTGGTCCGCAGACAGCTTCCGGGTCATGTGGCCAGCATGACTAAGCCGCTTCTGGCGAAACAGAGCAGTGCACAGAAACGTTGTTTACCTTCCTGCCGGAGCAGTACCTATTTATCTAATTGCACTTTGATGAACTGCTAGGTTGGCAGGAGCTGGGACTGAGCAACGGGAGCTCACCCCGTCATAGGGATTCGCACTGCCGACCTTCTGATTGGCAATATAAATGTTTTGAGAGACCTTTTAGAGTCATGAGGCCATTCATACCACTGTTCAGGCCCTTGCTCTGGTGTGTGTGTTTGTGTGTAGGTACTTGTGTAGTCAAAAATAGACAAATCTCAGCATTTTTTAAAATGGCACTACTCACACATAGAAGGGAAGCTGGTTCCTGAGGGCGTCTACCAAGCTCTACCCATGCCTGTCTCCTTATTTATCAACATCAGATCGGGGGTAGCACTGATGGGTGACCCATTTCTTTCTTTTTTATAAGATATTTATTAAGATTTTCAAAATATTACAAAGTAAAAATACAAAAATACAAAAATACAAAATAAAAATGGTTAAAAACAACTCATTCTTTCCATTACTTATTTTTCATTAGCTTATTTCCCGGACCTCCTCACGCCTCCCTTTTTGTATTCCAGTTCAGTTTGTTGGTTCAGCAAATCCTTACCCTCTTTGTTTATCCTAGTCTTTAATCTTAAAATATTGCAACGTTAAATTTTTGCCTATTAATAATCCATTTTTCATATTCCCTTATAGTATTACAGCTGAATACCACTTAATTTCTATCCAACATCATTCTAGCATTCATTAATTTTACAATATTTCTGTAGATAGTCTTTAAATTTCTTCCAATCTTCTTCCACCGACGATGGGTGACCCATTTCAGTTTCTTTGAAGAAGAAGTGTGTTTTGGATTGCAGGTGCAACAGATTTCAGGCACCTGTTGTCGAAGGAAGTTTGCTAATTTTACTGGGTCCTTCGGTGAATCCACACTGCAACTGTATCTATTGC